TCGGCCAAAACTCGCATTCCTATGGCCAGTCTCCAATGAAAAAACGGTCCCTAGTAAACAAAGAAAAAGGACTACAAGCACTTAAATAAGAAAACCCAAAGAGTTAACTCTAAAGGAGTTGTACTAGGGTTCCCTCTGATAGACCAGCAAATATGATTCACTCTCTTCTTTAAATGAGATGTAGTGCAGAAAAGAGAAAATGAAGATAATGGCCATGAACGTGTCTTGATACTTGTAGCTGGACTAATCCTGTGAAAGGAGATTTACTTGCTGCACCTGGCAGTCCTGTGGGCAGTTCTATTAGTCAGTCCATGCCTCACTGTCCTTCTTTGTCAAATACAGAGAAGGGAATCAATAGTTACTTATTGTGCAGAATTATTGCAAACTTGCCTTCAGTGTGTCATGCAAAGTATATTTGTGTGATACGGAACAAAACAAAACAAAACAAAAGATTTGCAGGAAAGAACAAGCACCCAAACAATAGGAAACCAGACTGAAAGACAGTGGAGCACCCTCTCTTGCTGTTCATACAGCACCTGTCAAGTAGAGTGGTAGCCGTACCTTCAGGTGGGTAAGGCAGCGATGTGAGAAACAATGCTCCCTAGGCTTCCTAGGAACAGCTGACTTGGAACAGGGGCGAGAAGATGGTGCAGGCCTCCCAAGAGATTACAGAGCAGAAAGGAAGGAGCAAAGAAGGAAAACAAGGAGTTGTCAATCAAGACTAGCAAGTACCTGACCCTTAGAGATAAAGACCCACTTCCCTTTTCTTCTGGTGGAGCTCCCTGGTCAATACTAGTCGAATGAGAGAGGGAGATTTAGGAACAACACTGAGTGCAGATTTGAAAGAAAGCGTGTCTAAATCTCCTTTATCTGAGCATTTTTTACTTGAGACTTACGTCCTAAACTAAGCAACTGTAACCTTTTCATGAATCAAGATCAGCATCAATAAAATGAGTTAAAAAACTTAAATGTAAAAGCATTCTCGGCACTTGGACTAAAGCAAAAGCTGGGGAAAATCCTAAGTGTGACCATAGAAAGGAACAACTTGTATTTAAATACTTTTATTTTTTTCAAAAGTCAGCTCATTTGCTAGAGGTTAGCTTCAGGAGGAGGCACATTGGTTTTGTTGGAGCACGTGTGGAATATTTTTCTATGAAAAATGTCTGTGCTGACTGCTGAGAAGAAATCAACTTAGTGCCAACTACAGTTCTTGCGGAAGTCTGCTAGGAATTCAGCTAAACCCAAGCAAAGCAACTGGCTGTTGCAGAGCAGCAAGGACAAAGTTCTGCGCTGAACTGAACCTGTAATCTTGAAAGGTAAATTCTGATCTTGTTTCTCCCTTGCTCAAGCCATCCTGCCACTGCACACTTATTTAAGGTACCTCCATCACTGTTTTATAAACCATTTGGGGTTTACTTGTGCTGATTCACGTCCTACTGTAAGGACCAGGAGGCTGAGAAGTTGACTGAATCCAGATGTAAGAACCACATATTCACTTGTCATCATAAACAGCAACAGCATGGGCAGGAAGAAGCATGATGAGTGAGCACAAGAGAGAAGACACCACATTCAGATGAGGAGGTGGAAAAGCCGTGCAGCGCGTAGTCAAGATATGGGAAGGGGAAGCAGGACTGGATGCGATGGGAGAAGAGAGCAGTCTGCAACACGGGCCACAGCCAAGGGCATCAGCATGTACCCGCAGGGAGAAGCACAGAGCAGCGTGTTCCATTTGGCAAGTCTTCCAGCTGTTCCCCATCTCCCTCAGTCTGTGCTTACAGCTCAGATGGATTTGGCACTGGCTGGTTATGAGAGTGCTACAGGAATGGCAGCTCTTTCACATAATTTGCCCCTGAGCTTCCTCTTCACTGTGCCAAGGAGCAGGCAGACAAAGCTTTGGCTGCTAGCTGTACAGAACTGCTCTGACGGCCAGGCGAAAGGAAGCTGCGGAGAGCCTTGCAAAACCTCCAGCAGGAGGAGCTTTAGATGGCTCAAAGAGAACATTCAAACACAAACCTCCCACAGCCTGAAATTCAGCTCACGCTAATTGAGCACTAACTGCAGGCCTTCAAGAAAAAAGAATCGTTCCCTCTAGTCAGTATTGCTCTGAGCATTGCAGAGACCAGAGCAGTATTTACAAATATGTATGTGAGATGTGTAGTTTCATGGTCTTTAACTACTGCTTTAAAGGCAGTAGGTAAAATTAGCTTTAGGTTGCAGGCACCATTTAGAAGTGGAAGACTGTGGCAGCATTTGGGCTACATTTTCATACCCTAATGTTTAATAATATGCTGCTCTTGTTCTTCTTGACACTAGCTTTCAAATCAGTTAACAGAGGAACTCAGATCTTTGTGTTACAAAGAGGCTTAGGCATGGGTGATGACATGAAGTGGAACTAGGAACTGAATCGGGTCTCTTGGGAATACTGTAACCCTTCCCCGGTTACTAGACACCATTGCTCCCATTTGCTGCTGTGGTACCCTAATAAACGCAGGTATTTTAAAAAATTATCAAGAACCAAGATGCAGTAACCGAGCCAAGCCCACCACATGGCTCATTGCCACTGACCTGCCCTGGCTTTCTTGCCATTTCTCAGCTGGTGGCTCTGGGGCTTATTGGAGTTTAACTTGACAAAGAAAGCAGAACATTTTTCTGCTGAATTAATGAGCTGAATAGGCTCAATGAAGTGTTCAGTGAGCACCAGAGCCACCTCAGGAGACTGGGCCGCTTAGGGTTCAAAACAGTAACAGCTGGGACAGGAACAGCAGCACCCTTCAAGGCATTCAAGAAAATTCATAGATGAGCTTGACAGCGTTGTCAAACCACACAGACAGTCTTGCAGTCTTCTCTTTTATACTTCAGATACCAGATTCGCTGATGTGAGTCACTGTAAAGGGTTCCACTCAGAAGTGGGACACTGCTGAAGACTAGTTAACAAAGGCTGACCTGTGTGGTTTGGGTTAGTAGAAAGGGACTAGAAATCAAATCCTCCTGAAAGGTAGGAATTCCAGGGTCATCAGTCCAGGTGGAAAAATTGGAAAATTAAGATTTTAGTACAGTTTAGGTCATTCCCAAGAATGACCTTTCCTGATACATCTTACTCATTTTCTGATACACCTTACTCATCTTATTCATTACAAGCCAATCATTGCAGTTACTCCTGTTATTGCTGGATAGGAATGCTTTGTGGCAAGGAAGCTTTACAGGCAGCATTTGATTTGTTTAATTACAGAGACACATATTTTCCACCTCTAATTCAAATGCTGTCCAAACACACAAGTGCAGTTTGTCTGTTTTGAAGCAGCCGTTTTGACCTAGATAACTGCTATTCCCTCTCAAGACAAAAACTCTCCTCACACTCTTTTTAAAGTTCTCTCATGTTGCAGGCTCCATGCAACACAAGAGGTACAAAATGTTTTAATAAAATTATATTAAACAAGGACTGTAAGACTTTTCATACCTGACATGGAGAAACAACACTTAAAACAACTGACCCTGAGGACATTCTCTGACTTCGCAGAAAAAACAAGTATCTTCTACCCAGGCTTTGAAAATCATATTTAAGAAAACAAGCTCAAAACTTACCTCTGTGTGATGCTTGACTTAAAAAGATGACTAGAAGTTAAAAAGATGACTAGAAGAGTTCTTGTACAATAATGTTATGCACTGGAAGGTTTATGCAGAATTTAAATGGAAAGAGTTATTACCAGCATTCAGAGAAAATCACTGTTTTCATTTTCCCTCCAATCAGTATTTTCCAGCCACTGCCAGCCCACTGTTGCTTTAGGAGTATCTTTCAACTAAGTTCCCAGTAGAGCATCTGATATTTTTCCAAGAAAAGCTTTTGAGACTCTGAACGAACAGTCCTTTCAGCACAATCCCTGTGTCCAACAACCTTCTACATAAAGGCCCTCATTATGAATTTTGAGTCAGTGGAGTTTTCTCAGTCAGTGTGTGTTGCTGACCAGGCTTCCCTGTCTTAGAACTGGTATTTTCTGTAGAGTTTGCATGAAGCCCTAAAGCACATCCAAATGTGCAAGCTAATGACTACAAAAGAAAAAAAAACACAAAAGAAAATCATGTTTAAAAATTCGATTCGGAATTGGCAACTCTGTAACCTCTTCCCTAGCTGCCATCTCATTAACATATTTGTTCAAAAGCCTTTTATCTGCTTCATTACATAATTTGTGTTACAAAATCCAGATAAACACTCATTATTCCCAGGTCTAAATAATGGCTTATTTGGCTTCCTTTTTCTTCTTCTTTTATTTTTCCCAGAGAAAAATGGGAGACAGAAGGGGCTTGTTTGGATGGGAAGTGAAGCACACCATTTTCTGAGTAACATCTGGGACATCTGTTGTGTATGGCATTACAATACGTTATGCAAATACTGATCAATGATTCTTCTCACTACCTCCGCAAAGTAGAAGAATTAATATTATTGTCCCCATTTTACAGACTAAGAAGGTCAGTCCATATTTTTGCGTGCCCATTATCTCATTATTCGACACCGAGGAACGTCTACAACATCAGAGAAGAGCCACTTGCGTTGTTATGTTGTAAGGGATCAGTAGTGGCAGCAGGTGCAAGAAGTGCTAGGCCTTCCATCAGAAAACCCTGGAGATACTGAAATGAAATTGGCACTGAAATGAAAATGTGAAATTCTGATCCTTTTTCTTGCTAACTTCTATTTCTCCTGGAGTTCTCTATGTAAAAATTGTAGAGCTGTGTGACCTCCAGCTGAAGTCCAATGCTCCAGGTGTGGAGGGAGGATGGTGGCCCCAGGGCTCCCCGTGGCTCTCTTGGGGAGGCAGTGATGGAGTTCCTCTAAGGACTAGTGCTCCTTAAAGACTAGTCTGGCAGTGCTGCTGTTTCTCCTTTAAAGAATTTTGGCTAAGCAGCTGTTAGGGGTGGAGTTACTGCAGCAGAGGCTTTCAGTTTCGTTTTTTTCTTTCTCTCTGCTCTTGGAAGGAAGGATATCGAGCAGAATGGAAAGAAAAATAATGGTGGAAGACAGCAGATTCTGCAAAAATTGGTAAGGGATCTTTCTCTTTACCCCATACAAAGAGTGGGGTTTTTTGAGTTTTCTAGGATTTTTCTTAATGTTTTCTAGGTCTCCTGTAATAGGGGGAAAGAAGAAGAACCACACAGCAGGAAGGGTGTACACTAGCCACTGAGTAGTAAATAAAAATATTTTGTACGCATTTTCACATTTCCAGGTTGCTGCTTTCTTGCTACTTTGCTGTGGAGACGTTTCTTCTGTAGCCCTCTTCCATGCTGCCTGTTCTCCTTTTACATAGGAACACTGAGTGATTTTGCAGCATCTGGCAGAGGAGTCAGCGCATGGACCACACCATGCTGCAGTATTTGCAGTTAGGTCATACTCATTTTTTCAGCATAATTGGCCATCTCTCATAGAATAGAGGGCTGAAAGGGGCCATGAGGATAGCGTAGCTTGGTGTGCCTCAACTACTATCGAGGCCATTGGCAGAGTAATGTCTAAATGTCTTGGTAAAATGAATTTGAAATACAAAAACTTATTTCTAGTTTTTAGCTGAATTGCAACCAGTTGTACTGGTTCTGGCTGGGATGGAGTTAATTTTCTTCCTAGCAGTCCCTCCCCTGCTGTGTTTTGCATTTGTGGCTAAAACAGTGTTGATAACACACCAGTGTTTTGGCTTTTGCTGAATAGTGCTTACACAGCGTCAAGGTTTTCTCTTTTTCCTAACTCTGCCCACTCCAGGGAGGAGGCCAAGGGCGAGCAGCAGTTTGGGAGGAGACGCAGCCAGGACAGCTGACTCAAACTGACCAGTGAGAAACTCCACACTGTGTAACGTCATGCTCGGGAATAAAAACTGCATTAGAGGAAGAAGTACGGGGTTGGGTTGGGGTTGTTTTTACGTCTCAGGCAGCTCTTGTTCAAAGGTTGGTTGGTTAAAGGTGTGCCTGTGGGAGGTGGCGAGTGATGGAATTTGCTTCACTTGCTGCCCCCCCCATCATCCCTTCAAGTATTAGGCTTTTGCCTACACATTTTCTCACTTCTGGTGGTGGCGACTGAACAGCTGTGTGGGAACTTGGCTGCTGGCCAGGGCCAGCGCACCGCAGCAGTTCATTTACTCTTCTCTTTTTCCCATTTATGTGCTCGGAAGTAAACAAGATGTGTCTGCTGCCAATTTCTCCCTCCACGAGGCCCACTGCTTGCGCTTTCTCACTCTCTGTCCAGAATGTGATGAACCAGTTGCCCGAAAGGATATGAAAGACCATCAAGCAGAAGCACACAAGCAGGTGAGGAATGCTGCACATTCTTCAGTGTTTTCTTGCTTTCTTGTCTTTCTTGTTTTCAGAGCAAAACGCTCTGCCAGCTCTGAAGTAGTATTTTCATGTTCTGTATTAACTTGATTTTAACCTCTGTAATTGTTTGACCAAACAATCTGTAAGGGTCTATCTGATATGACCTGACCTTATTGCACACTCAGCTGAAGAGAATAAAGCTTCCTCTGTGGTATCTCAGTTTCCTCAATGATACAATTACAGATCAGGTAGGGATACATGCTCCTAGATCTTGTGAATAAGCCAGAGCACACAAGTTAAATGATTTGCTTAGAGGAAGACAGTACCTGACCTGACATAAAACTTGCTCGTATGAAGCTATGACATCAACATACTTAAACAAAACTAACTGGCGGAGTAAATGTACCAGCTCTTCAGATATTGAGGCAATAGCACTTTTAGCATAGCATTAAGAACCCCCTAGCTAGAGGTACTGTGCTGAAGTACAAATACACAGGCGTGACTTTATTTTGCCTTGCTAGTTTTATTGTTTTAGCAATTCCATTGATTTCCGTTATTTAACAGAGCACATCTCTTATGTTTCCAGAGGGGCTATTGTAATTTAAACCAGCTGAATACCAGACCTATATTTTTAAGTTAAACCTCAGTCAAAACTTTGAAAACACACTATTTCACATCATGCTTTGCATTTCACATGAGCACCTTTGAGAACTAGATCTTCACACAGAGCAACAGCTTCCTGCAGAATCATCAGACATCTGCTTAACTCAGAATCTCATCAGCACAGCTCAGGCCTGACAGAGAAGCAAAAATTTGCCACAGCTTGTTCAGGATGAAAATGACAGGAGGATCACCTAAACAGCTTGAAGTTGTATTCACATATGAAAGTATTAACCATCCTCTTATGCTCCCAGTGAACTGCTGTGTGTTTTGCTTGCAGGTCAGATGCAATCTTTGTCAGCAAAGCATGCAGCAACACCAGTTGGAGCATCACGAGGTAAGTATGGAGTGCAGTGCTTTTTACTTTCTTGGCTGACTCCTTTGACCAGCCACCAAGAGTCGCGTTATGGATTCAACCGCAAAATGTGCAAATTCCTGACTCCTGTCCTGGACTATGATGAAACTTAAACCTCTCAACAACTGCAGTGTTCTGGAATACCTTTTCCCCCTTGTAAATAAGTATATTCTATGGTGGTTGCCCATATGGTGATGAGACAGTCTGTTCCAGAAGGTAATCTATTACTTTCTCATCCTTGGCACCTCAAGCTGATGTTCTTTGAGGGGTTTTCAAAGATGTTTCCACCTGCCCCCACACTCATATTACCTGCTTTTCCAAAGGAGTGGTTACACTAAGTAAGAGTCAAGAAACAGCTAAGGAGCTGGCAGAGGTTGGGAGGTGAGGGCAGCCTGTCTGTGCTGGCTGTAGTCTAACCATTTCGAGGAACCAAAGCAGTGAGGACACAGTAGGCTTCCCCTGGTGCTGGTAGCTGAAGTACTGGAATTTTCTAGGTGGGCTTGTACTCTGTCGCTAAGCTGTACTGACACAGATCATCTTCACTGCTCTTGATTCCCATTTTGCCCTACATTGCCTACATCACCCTGAATTAAAGATAGCCTAGATAAGAAAACTCCTAGTACAGCTAAGTCCGCATTTGGTTGTGCAGACACCCCTTAAGAATGGCATTTTTAGAAAGTCCCTCATTACTCTCTTTTCATGCCCTCTCTTCACTCATGCCCTCTTCTAGTATTGGTACAAAATTTGCAATAATTTCCTCTATTCATGCACAGACCAAGGAATGCCACAAGCGAGCAGTGAAGTGCAAGATCTGTGAACTTGAAATGCCCTTCAGTAAGCTGGAGGAACATGTGAACACCTGTGCCAGCCGCACAGAGCTTTGTGGGGAATGTAACAAATACATCATGTACAAAGACCAGGAAAAGCACAAAGATACTTGCCAGGGCAGTGGTCTGTCCTATCGTAAGGATGTGAACTTTCAGACCAGAGAAGCATCAACTGATGCAACATCTATTTGCTCCACTGGTAAGCAAAATTCCTCATTGCGATGGACTGAGTTAACTGTTAAATCTCAATGAAAATGCCCCTGCCTTCTCTACAATTCTTGGTAATGCAGGCTGGAGGGGATTGTTGTTTAACTAACCACAGTGAAAAAACCAACTGTTTCTTTCTATTATGCTCGTTATTGTAAAGCCAGAGTGGTTCCACCGACTGATACACATCCTTGGCCATGTTCTCTTACGCCTCCCTTAAATCCTGGATGTGAAATTCCTTCTGTCAGAAGATAGGTGAAACTTCTTCCTCTTTTTGTTACACAGGAGAAAATACAATTTAGAATTCCCTCCTACTTCATATATAAAGCGAGTGATGCACACCCTGGTTTCTTAAAGCTGAGAGCAGAGTTATTAGACCTAAGGTATTGGATAGAGTATGTCAAGACAAAAAATTCATTAATCCTGTCAATGATCTCTGAAAAGAGCAGGCACCAGTAGGCTGACAAAATAAACTATAGAGAGCAAAACCCACTAGCAACAGAATTAGCTAGGCCAGGGAAGGAGTGAAGCATCTTGAGCCACAAACCATGAGGCTGGAGTGGAGTTTCAAATATCCTAATGTGTGCAAGAAGGGGTGGTGAATCAGTTTTTGAGTGGTGTCAAAAGCAAAATGTAGTCACAGCTCTAATTCCTTCCTGGCCAGTGGAATCAGCACTCTGTGTTTCTGTAGAGCCATGACCACAAGTGGATGTGAGCAACCTGTCTAGATGACTAGTGTCAGTCCTGTGTTACTCTCCTTTTTTCCTTTTTCCTTCTGAAGGTACTGGTGGCAGGCTTTGCCAGAGGTGCAGTAAGTCATTCCCAGATGACCAGTATTTCCAACATCTTGTAAGTACACTTGAAACTGAGCAAGAAAATGGTCTGTGCTTTATTTCCAGCCAGGTTATATCTCTGAAAAGCTATATATTAGGTAGGAAAGGGGAGTGTGTCTTGGCTTTTCAAACTATAGTTTCATGATGCTGTGTATTCAGCTGAAGCACCACTGGTGTGCACTGTCCCTCCCCATGGCTCATGCCTGTCACAAATCACAAGATACCACAGAGTTGAGTGTAATGCCATTCTTCGCCTCAGTTATACATGCTTTCTTTTAACAGAATAAATGCTGTGCAGCCCATAAGCTGACAAAAGTTCTTGCCAGCCAGTCAACTTCCAAGCTCAGCACTGATCCACCACAGTCTTGTTCCTCCCTGGCTCCCTCTTCCTGCTCCAAGAATGCAATGGTGTGGAAAGATGTCCGTCCCAAAGTGAAAGAAAGGGGCCAGCCATTGACCTCCAAAACCTTGCTTAACCCTCCAAAGAACAAAAATGCTGGCTTTCCCTCTCCCACAAGAGGCGGACTTGCCACAGCACCTCAAGATCTTAAAGACACCGAGTTTTTTGACATTCTGGTGAACTGTGCCCACTGCAACATTCTTCTGCCACTTCCAACCCTTCAGAAACATGAGGTGAGAAGTGGACTTGGCCTCCTACATGCAGAGGATCATACCTACCAAGTCAGCACTTATCTCCACACTGCCTGGAGTCCCTGTACAATTTCTAGAAATTGAAATGCTGGCCATAGTTGCACTCTCTGAAAAGCATGGAATTTGTTAATTCCACTGACTATTTATGCTCACATCTATGCAAAAAAGTTCCATCGCCTATAGTCTGCTTGTGTTTTAGAAAAATAATAATGATGACTCAGTCATTAATTTTAAGCTCAAATCCTGGAAAGTCCTCAGCAGCTGTCTTTGTTTGCTGAAGGCTGATATTGTCCCTGCTAAGCACATAGTATGATTATATCTCACCTGCATCAGAGATGAAGCTCTAGATGATGCTCCATCCCAACGAAAGGTCCCAATTTTTTCCCTAATGAATATGATTGCATGTTTAATATAATGTTAAATTCTCATCTGATACTACTACTATTGCTTATTTTTCTAGATCAAATGTCTACATTTGACATCTTTTAAAATGCTAGGATGAAACCAAAATGAAGCCATGGAAGAAAAGGTACCATAGAATTTTGGAATTTAGAACAGAATTAATCATTCAGGGTTATTCTACATTGGGTTAATAGGAACACTGGGACGCTTTGCAAAGGAAGTGCTCCTAGAAAAGCCTGTACACACGATGCTCTTTAGATTGTGAGTCACAGCGAGTTCTCTTGAGGTCCCATTAATCAAGCATTGCTTCAGAGCTAAATGTTTTCACTGTCTTGACTCAGACTAACATATACTGGGCCTCTCAGATTAGGCTACTATGATCAGTGTGGTACCTTCCCCACCGTAAGCAGGGATCAGCACAAAAGATTTCACAGAACAAGTGTTCTCTCCCGAGTCTGTCTGCTTCAACACTGAATGGAGACTGAAGGAATAGTGTCAGAAGACAAGAATTAAAAATGTTCCTTCTCCATAGTAAAAATAGAAGCATATTCTGTATACATCTTGTGTATATATACATGCATATGATATACATGTGTAGAAGCATATACAATAGACAATAGAAGCATTGATACAATTATGCCAGACAATACCTTCAGCTGAGCTTGCACTGGTCCATAGGCAGTAGGTAAGTCTCTCTCCTCACCCTGTCCCAGACAGTCTGTGAAGCTTAGCACTTCTCCTTTTGCTAATGTCCCCCTCTGCTTTTGTGTTCCTAACCAGTATCTTCTCCTCTCAAGTCCAATTAACTAAGTGAAACTGAAAGCAGTTGTTCTCAATCTGTCCTTTTTCTACTTGGTTCGGTAAATGATGTATTACTTCTCCCTGTAAAATTTTCCTCCTCTGGTAAATTAAAGAGAGAAAGCACTAAAATGAAAAATGGGGGCTTGTCTAGTTTTGAATTACAGGACTCTGGTTAGTCTTGAAATAAAAGTAAGCTCGTAGTAATTACACAGATTATCTTACTTGCATTGTGATTTTTTTTTATATTCAGTTGATGGGAAGGTTGTAAAACTGAAACTTTTAAAACACTCATAACTGAGCTTTGTTTGTTTTACAGAAGACTCTACATCTGGAAATAGAGGCACATCTTCAGACTGAAGCTTCAGCTCAGCTTTAGTAAAAGGCGCTGAAAACGTGAGAGCCTTGTTATTAAATAAAAGTGACCTGTTACTCTGGATCAAGAACAAAGAGTGACTCTGGTTTTTATTCCTTATCAATAGAGGCATTTAAATGGTTTCACTAGAAAACTGCAAAGTTGATGAGGGCTCAACAGCTGTTGTCATTTCAAAAATTTCTGTGTAAGCTTGCCTTAGGAATGTGCCTTTTTGCACCCAGTTCAGCAGAGAGAGCAGCTTATTTAAAAATGTTCATTCTGGAGGAGAGAAGGCAATAAGGAGTTCAGAATTCCTTTTCATGTTGCATGCCACCAATTTTCCTTGCCCTCACCGACTCTTGAGACTTTAGTGTTTTTCAGGGCATGGCCCAGCGAAATTAAAAAATCCCATAAAATCCTGCTCTCCTTCACTCCAGTGAACCTCTGAACGTAGGGCTAGTGCAAATAGCTTAGTCTCAGGAGCTTGCAGGCACAGCTTGGGGTGTTCATCTTCTGATACACAAATGGAAACTGATAGAGCCCAGTGGTGCAAAGCGAAACATGAAGAGTGAGTGGATGCGTCATGCTGAAGTCTGGGAGTATTTGCCCGGCAGCCCTCCCTGCCTGTCCCAGAGGCTTTGCTGATCAGTGTCTAGTGAACTGCACTTGAAAGTGTGCGGGAGTGCTCTGACCATTTTTAAGAAGGGATTGCCAAACACAATATAAAACATCGCTCTCACCAACCAAGGTTGGTTTCAAGCTTTTAACAAATTGTTCTGAACTTCTGGTAAGCAGGTCTAACATTGAACAGGGTGTTATGACGCATAATTTTGTGTACTTGGGGGCAGAGGAAAAGGCCCTGAAAACGTGTCCATTAAAGCTGTGTCATCTGTACGTAAACTTATCCTCTTTTATTCTGCACTCGTTCGATTTTCACGTAGTTTAGTAGTGTTCTCACTCGAGAGGCGGCACAGCAGCGGGCTGGGCTGACCCCGCACGAGCACGAGCCCTCGCTCC